TTTTATATTTATATATTTATAAAAGTAATTGGATTAAATTTATTATCCTCTCATATATTATTATACATTTAGCGTAATTTTAGTTTATTTAAAAATTAGAATACAAATATACTATATCAATATACCATTATATTATTTTCATTGTATATAAATTACAAAATTAATAATTTGTATACTATACTATACTAACATATTATTTGTATACTATACTAATAGTATAATATACTATATTATAATATTATTTGTATACAAAACTAATATCTTTATATATAAATATATAAATATGGAAAGATATAAATATATGTAAAAATATAAAAATATAAACATATAAATATATATAAATATGTAAAGATATAAACATATATCTTTAATATTTTGTAAATGTAAATATAATTTATATATATTTTTAAATCTTTTTCTAATATTTATTTTAAAAATATAATATTATTTTTAAAATTTAATATTTTTTTTCAAATATATAAATATATAAAGATATAAATGTATAAGGATATAAATAAATATATAAATATATCAATATATAAATATATCAAAATATAAATATATAAATATATTAATATATTAATATATAAATATATCAATATATAAATATATCAATATATAAATATATAAATATATATATATATATATATATATATATACAAATATATCAATATATCAATATTATCCCCTCATATATTAATATACATTATTAGCATAATTTTAATTTAATTAAAAATTAGAATACAAATATACTTATACTATACTAATATATTATTTGTATACTTATACTAATAGTATAATATACTATATTATAATATTATTTGTATAGAAAACTAATATCTTTATATATAAATATGAAAAGATATAAATATATATAAAAATATGAAGATATAAATATATAAAAATATAAATATATGTAAAAATATAAAGATATAAATATATCAATATATAAATATATCAATATTTAAATATATATTAAAATATATAAATATATTTTTATTTATAGATTTTATATTTATATATTTATACGGATATACATTTATTTGTATATAAATATAATTTATTTGTAAGTTATTATTAAAAGATCCTAAGTAGTCTCAGTGGTTGGAGTTTACTCTCCAACTCTAGAGATCTGAATTCGAATCTTGATAATGACAATAAACCACCTAATAATAAGTTAAACTTCTAAAAAATATAATATAATTAAGAGATAGGAAAAATAAATAATAAATATAATAAAAATATAAATAAATAAAAATAATTAAATTTTTCAAGTGACTAATGAAATAGTGACTAGATTCCAGATTGGTCACTATTTTAATTAGTAACCGAATTTTCGTTCACTTGGTGTTTTTCTTGTAGTGCCATCACCACCTCCTTTGGCCACCACTGTGGCTCTCCCAGCCAAACCTTGCATCACCACCTTCAATATCTATCCCGGCCACCGCAAAACCACTATCCCAACCGCCATTACAAGCATCCCAGTGAACCCCCACTGCGCCGCGACCACTTGCGGCCACTGCCATCACCATGGCCACCACGCCAATACCTTCATTGCGCCTCCATAAGCCTTCACTCTGGACGACATCCCAAAAAACCCTTACAGTCCCAATAGACCCCGCATCTCCATCCTTGCCATCGCGCATCCCTTGCCTCAGACAACAGCGGAGTCGCCTCAGGCTCCGCAGCCTCGCCCTCCCCAAATTGCTACCTCATGTCGTTCTAGCCAGCCACCGCCCCAATCACAAATCTGTGTAGCTCCCCTTTTCCACATTAGGTTAAAGTTAAGGGTAAAAGATGAGTTTGGGCTTAGGAGGATTTCGACCCAAATCAGTCTGGAGGTAGGAATAATAAAAATCAACCTCTAATAGTAAAATAAGTCAATTTTAGGCCCAACAAATTGGTAGGAGATTTTGGGCCGAATAAAAAAATAATAATTTGGGTTTGGAAGTGAAAAATAGTAAAAATAAGCTACAGAGAGTAAAACAATTATAAAAGAATTGAGATTAATGTTTTTTTTCTTTCTTTTATTTTATTTTGTTAAATTAGACAATAAAAAAATAAATTATAAATAATAATGAACAAAAAAACTTATTTATCATTATCCAAATTTTAAATAAAAATGATTCTATTTTTTTAATAATTTAAATTATTACATCATTATTAGTATATTAACAATTAAATATCAATAATTATCATTTTCCTTTCTTGAGTGTTATTAAAAATGCAATATTATTATTTTTTTGGAGTAGCAAGAAATATTTCATAAAAGTTTAGCCATTTTGGATGCACATCTAATTTGGTTACCATAAAATTATAATAATCACTTCAAATGTACTTTTAATTTGATCATCATAAAATATTTAATATTTAATATATATATATATATATATATATATATATATATATATATATATATATATATCCAAATAGAAATTACAAAATACAATAATTTAAACATTTGAAATTACTTTGGATGCACTTCTCATTTAATTATTATTCATAAAAATGATAATCACTTTAGATGTACTTCTAATTTGATTATTCATAATTATCCAACTTTAAAATAATTTCAAACATATGTTTAATTTAGCAACACAAATAGAAAAATTAAAATAAATTATTTATAAATATTTGTAAGAAAGAACTACGTTACTTCGATTCTCCATTGCACCTGGGGATACGTAGGAGCAGGGAGATGATCTCTGTCGAGCTAAAAATATAAAAATATATAATCTTTTATTTATAGTAACAATATTTAATAATATAAGTTTGAGGGATAAAATAGATAATTTTAAGATATTTAAATTTTTTATGTCTAATTAAAGGTAACCGTTTTTAAAGCGGATGTTGTAAGGTGTTAATACTTTCCTTACACATAATCGACTCTCGAACCCAATATTTATTTCGTAGACTATTTTTTTTAAGGTTTTTTCTAATATTTTTTCTTAAAATAAATATTGGTGACAACTCCATTATTTTTCTTTCATTTAGAAACTTAATTTTATTGTCTAATCACAAATACTTTAAATATGTAAGATCAACTAAACAATTTTACTCATTTGTAAAAATCACAAATTTTAGGGTATATGGTTATAAAAATATAATGATTCTTGGGTTTGAAAAAACTTCTTGTGTTTCAAATGTCTACCGTCATTATAAATATAAAATAATTAAATATTTTAAATTACAATAACATAGGTTAAATAATAAAGATAAAATTAAACAACTTATTATAGTTTAGTTATTAAGTTTCTTATATTAAGATTTTATTATTTACTATTTCTGTATATTTATTTAACTTAAAATATTATTAATAAATTAATATTATATTTACTTTAAAATATATAAGTAAATTAAATTTTAAAAAATTTGCGAGGCATGTTCCTCCACAAATTTTCCAAATTCTAAGGGGAAAGAGTTAGATTTTAAATTTTTCTTTGCTACATTTCTTAGAGTTGAGCTCGGTATGCCATACCCTCCACATGTCAAACCCATTAAAGTCACTTTACTTTCATGCTTAGATTGAGATTGATAACAATGATTTTTCTTTAAAAAAAAAATCTATTAATTGGGTGTTTATTTAACTACGTATTATATAGAAGAGGAATTAAAATTGAATAAATAATACATTTATTAACAATGTAAATACCATTTACAATATCAATATCATGACTATTAGTAATTAATGATAAGTTTGTGAATTTTCATAATAACTATTTTAACATTTATACGTGTTTTCTAATTATTTGATCATACAAAACTTATATTTAATATAGCTTTTTTCGTAGAATAATTTAAACTTTGTTCTAGTTCTTAGTTTTTTTTTTTTACTTGGTTCATGTTCTCAATTAAAAAAAAAAGTAAAATATGATCAAACTATTCTAATACTTTTTGTTGGAATAACTTATTAGTAATTTGTAGAGCTATCAAAATTGGTGATAGTGAAGTCTAGTATGACTCTATGAGTTAAGTAAAAAATATGAATGACTCAGTCTAACATATATTTTACAACAGGTCAACATTTTTAACATAATCCTATATTACACCGGACTAATGGACTAATTTTGACCTGATTAAATTTTTAAAAAATATTATATCTATACAAAATCAATTAATTAAAAAATTTAAACAAAAAATATTTTTAAATTTAAATTTTATTAATGAAATTAGGTTTTGTTTAAATATAATAATTTAATATATAAATTATAAAAGGATACATCTATCCAATCTCAAAATAATAATTAAAAACTTACTCTTTATTATCATTATTTATTTTTAATAATTTTTTAATTTAAAATAGTAATTAATTTTAATTATTAGATCTTGAAATAAGTGATTATTAGAGATTTATTATGATATTTACTCTTAGAATAAATAAATCTATGTCAAATTAATTTATAATACATATATTTTTTTTAATAAGATAATATTACTTTTAATTATATTTAAAAAATAATTATTATTATTCTATAAAACAAGTCAACCTATAAGGTTACCAGCTAATTTGACCTAAGCCTATATACGTCATGGTCTAAATAGATCGGGCTAAAATAGGTCTAATTTAATTTATGCCACAAATTTATTGACTTAATCTGACTTATTTGTCGAGTCTTTTGAATCGATATATCAGACTAAATCTATTTTAATACTCGTAGTCATTTAATAGTTATGAGGATGCCACATGACATCATGACCGATTTCATTTATTTTTTAAAATTCAAGAATTTAAATTATGGTTTTAAAAATATGTTAAAACTAAAATTAAGATATAGCTAATAGTTTATGATCAAAAGCATATTTTATCATACTATTATTTATTATTATTTAAATTATTTAACTAGTATAATTACTAACTTACATGTGTAATAATTATAAGAAACAAGAGTGAAAGTAATGGAAATACATAACAATTAATTCATACATTAAGAAATCCAATTTATTGACCATGTTTATACATTCCCGTCAACCTCCACCATAACAGATGACTTGACATTGAGCTAGAGATTAAAGAAAAAGAAAAATATCAGGTTCCCAAATTTCATAAGCTTGATCCTCAACTCACCAATGGTAGGCGCCACACTGATGTTTAGGTCTCTCTTTTGGGTACAAAGCCTCATCCCACCTTCATCAGAAAGCCTCATTAGTAAGCCCACTACAACCAAGCCCAAGCCCTCCATCATTCTTGGGGCAACAGATCCAATTCCAATCAACCACTTCAACATGCTTATGATGCAAGTTAATTACTAGTATCTTCATCTCACTTTTCTAAATGGCTTCAACTGTTTACTTCACTATTTCAAATAATTATGTAATTATCCTTTTTCCCCTTTAGATAAACATTAACGGCTACATTCTTGACTTGGACAAGTTCATTATCAAAATATTCAAACTAAAAAATAATTATCTTATTTCTCATTTTAAATGCATTTGTTGAAACTAAAAAGTTGTCAACTTATACGGAGACAATGATACACTTCTTATTGAGGGTTCTATTAAAGAAAAAAACCAGTCACTACAAGTTTTTAAACACATCTTTCAAATAAAATTACCTTTAACAAGTAAAATCTCAAACATACGGGTTATTGTATTTGGCGAAAATACAAACCTTCATATCTCCTAATAAATTATAGTAGTTTTTTATACTAATCTATACATTTCCCCCATAACATCAACAATTTTTAGGTTAAAAGATACTACCAAATTTAGAAGCACAAATCTAATTTCACGTCATGTGAAAGGTCAAATTCATTGTAGTATTACCGTGTTAAATAGCTTGGTCGGGTACTGAGATCTATGACTCTACGGTCTGGATCTTTGTTGAAAAAAGGTTATCCACATTTAGAGAAAACAATGGATCGATAGTTTAAATAGAAAGTCATGAACGCAAAAAAGATATAAAAACCCAAGTCATTTCTCTCTACCTTCATTGTTTTGACAGAGTGAAGTTCAATTCCATACAACCAACACAAATAACCCATGAATCTTTCATAAACCATAAATATACATAATGAATTTTGACATCCAATAGCTAGGCCTTGACAGGGTGCATAATTTTAACTCATACGTTCAGTCCGACATCAGTAACAAGCCTACATGCTAGTAGACAACTGGCAGGATAACCAGCATGTATTCTTGTTTACATTAAAAGCTAAAGCAAAAATAAGGCCACTATGAGCCTTGAAGCAACAAGATATGGCTACCAAATACAACATTTTTACAGAAATGACATGCTGCGGTACTTAGTAAAGGAAGCAAATTCGCATGATGCAAACTCTTGGAAAAGCTAGCTTAACATTGCATTCATGCACAAGTCCATTGGAAAAATTACCAAGGTAGTCAAACCCCGTCATTAACCATGTACTATGATAATCAGTCAAAACTCCCTTTGTGACAATCAAGGAGCTGCAACACAGTACAAAAAAATATTAAGCACCATCCAAATCGTCATAAATGTGCCAAGTTATTCATGTCATATACATACAAGATAAAGTAGTTAGAAACTCCCAGAGCAAGATCAATTATTTCAATTTTGATTAAATGCAAATTCCTTTTATCCTGACTAAATTGGTCATCACACATCAAAATAAATTTTGTTTTTAGTATTACTATGGACATATATAAAAAATCAAGTTAGCATATTTTTCAGACAAATATATTAGTACAACCGTGAAATTTTGATAATGAATTTTCATAGGGAAACTCACGAGAAATAAACTGTATAATCCATCCAACAACAGGGATATGGTAGAGGAACATTTTGATAGAAGACCAAAACCCACTGCAACCAGAATCATCAATGTTAAGTTTAGAATAAGTTTTGTAGTCGTGTCAAGTTTAAGAAGGATGTCAATGACATCAACTAACCTGAAGAGGAAAAAACAACCGTATATTTCAAGTATTATACCAACTACTGGCCACCTCACAAAAATGAAAAAGAGACCTAGAAGAAATGATGCAGAACCCTGCAAAAAAAAAAGGCAAAGCAAACTAGTTATTCCCCATTTAAAGTGTTTCCTTATCCATTTATGGAGAATTTGGAAATTTCATATCAAGGTGGAGAAAAACACTACAGAACTAAGGTTAATAAATGATGTAGTCGTACAAGAACAAAGCTTGAAAGATAAATCAGTCAAACACCCATTCAAAATTATCTGTTGGGCTTAATGATTTTCATCACAGAATGAGATGCAGGAGTCCAAAGCAAAATTTCTTTAATTCATCGGTACTAGTACTTGAAGTAAAACAGATTACCTACACCTAACAGAATCCTGATTTTAGTAAGAATTATTGGTTTTTTAAAGACAATTGGAACTGGGAAACAGTCTCTTACAGGCAAGTGGATAAGCAGGAACTAACTGGGAAAAAATTCAAAATCTTTGTTCTAAACTATCATTTTTCACAAATAGAAGCCAAAACAATATGTAGCAAATCACTTGAATTTGACGACAGATATTTTCCGTGGTGCAACACACAGGTAGTGTTCGAAAATAAGCGGGGTTGGGGAGAAATTTATGCAGATTTTGAACAGAAATTTTACTAAAGGTATCAACTATCAAACAGATAAATGTATTGGTGAAAGACGAAGAATAGGAAAGGACATAACCTAAAGACGCCTCTTGTCATGTGAATACATACAGAATACATCTATTGGTTACTATTAGATATTAAACTATCATCTTTAAACTTTCACACTTATATGATAGGCACAGCAATCTATTTCGTTTAGCATATCCACTGTTAAACTTCAAGTTCAGAAATGATAAATAAATGTGTTTTTTTTATCTAAAGGAAACAACTCAAAAGCGAAGAAGCAGCTATATCCGTAGTGTAAAACAACAAAAACAACTGCGTAACATGTGCGTGACATTCTAGTATTCTACAATGTCCACCAGTGACTATCGAGAGAGAGAGAGAAGAGTGCCTTATAATTCGCCGTATTAGTGAAAAGTGCCCACGTAGAACGCCAACCAAGCAAAATGGCTATCCCTGCCAAGGAAAATATCTGATTTCGCAATAATAGATGCCAAAACAAATATTAGGGTTATACCAACCTCAATTCGAAAGGAAAAGGTAAAGGAAAATTAGATTGTAAAAGTAAGCCTCACATTTCCCAGAGCAAGCAAACCACGGTCAAAGAAGATAATCATGCCAAGAAATGTGAAGAATATGCCGAAACCAATTAGGCCTATACCAACCTCTGCGAGATTATGAAAAATTCCAATGTCAAAACACACGCAGTATGAACCGTGTGGTATTCAAACACTTGAATTACAATAAATTATAAACAGAATGTGCATTGCAATGCTTCTTACTCTTTATCTCGGTTATCTCATAGGCCATAATTGATTAGTAAAACAGCACCACCAGATGAAGAAATCTTCAAAAAAAAAAAAGAAAAAAGAAGAAAAGTAATCAGATCATGAATTAAGATACACTCACCCTAACCCTGATTTCTAGGAATAACTTTAAAGAGCAGAAATTTAGGTAATAACTTCAAAGGTTATCTATTACAGTCACCACATTTTGAGAGAGGGAGAAAAAGAACACTGAAATTTACCTCTAGTAAGCCGAGTTGATGCAGAAGAAGGACGAAAATCAATTGCTGCTGCCTTTTGAAAACCGAGATTGAGAGAGAGAGAAAGAGAATGGGCCTCGTACTTGTTATTTATTACACGGGCTTCAAAATTTTTGGGCCATGGGTTCAAGCCCAAATAACTCTAATAAGCCCAACGGTCTTCGCACGTGACTCTCAATGTATAGAGTAAAAATAGTGATAGACCAAAACATCTAAAGGAAAATTGGACCCGCATACAAAATAATAATAAAAAGATTAAAACTATACCTTATTTTGACAAATTCATTCTGATTGAGCAATATTATGCTATCATATAGAGTTTTTTGTTTCCCTCTTAACAAAAATCTATTTTAATTTTTATGAAATATTTTTATTTCATTTTAACCTTTAGCATTACTATTTCATCTCTTACAAAATAAGTTATAAATTTTACATTAAACACCCGTATATTACTATATGAAGAATGCATCAAATCTTAATGTAAAGTAAGCAAGTTTTAATGGGATAAAACTATTGTGTTAATCTAAGTACATGAATGAGGGTTGCAACAGTTCAGAATATTGTAATTCATTAAAAATTATAAAATTTGTTTGAAACACAATATCGTTTGAAAAATGAAATGGGTTTACTTGTTTTGTGTTCAAATTATTTATAATTTCGTAATTCCTTTGTTATACATTAAAACAGAGAAGCGGAGGTGAAGAAATAAAGGAAAATATAGCAGAGAAAGCAGAAAGAAACAAAAGTGTGTTTGAAAATTTGTAAAATGATTCATTCATTTAATAGATAACAGTCACATTTGTACAGAACTAGTTGATCAATTATGAGAGTGAACAAAGGCATAAAAAGAAGGGGAAATAAACAAGGATGCGAAACAACCTAACGAGGATGTTTGAGAGAAGATGCATAACAATTGATTGAGGAACTTTTTTCTTGATAAAGTGCAACTCCAGCTCAAATGTGCTTGCTTCTTGAACGAAGAATGAGAAACCACATAATATTGGTAGGGTAGTGGGTGAAATGGAAACCTTTAGCTAGACTAACAACAACTTTATGCAAACAAGTTCAGCTCCATTGTTAAATCAAACACAATTCTTCCATCAGAAAATTTGACTTTAACAATGCTTTCTAGTAGTTTGGTAGAACAAGTTTATATGCAGCAAGCTCCCAGGTTTAGTCAAGGCTCTTCAAATCTTGTACATGCAAACTTAAGAACCCACTTTATGGATTAAACATGAAAAGCTAAAATTAATCATTTCTCCAAAATATAAAACACCTTATATTAATTAATGCACACAAGTTATATTTAAGTTATGAAAAAACACTTACTTCATTTTCTTTTATATATTTTGTTTCTAAATTTACCTTTTATGAATATTTTAAAAAAATAATACAAGGATAAGTTGTATTTTAAAATTCTACTTCCAATAAAAGTCATATTTTAAAATAATACATTTTTTTTAATTGAAGTAATGTTCAAAACACCGCGTGACAATTTCACTTTTTTGAAAAGAAAAAAGTGTTCCTTCAATTCTACAACACAATTTATCTATATTTTTATTTTTAAATTATATATTCCCATAATAATTTGAGAAATTTATCCAAAAATGTAAAAGTCCCCCTTTTATTCCATGAAAGAGTTTCGAAACTAGTATTAAAAAAAAAAAATATGGACGATGGAAATTTATCCAAATTTTTGCAGATATGAGGGGACAAAGTTGGAAGGTCTGAATCAAAGTGAAGTTTGAGATTAAGGAGATAAAGTTTTAGAAAAATTTCTGAATTAGGAGCAGTTAGAGTCTTGGGTGTTGGAATCAATGATAGACACCTTTACAACAATAATGGTTTTGGCTGTTGCCGCTCTCTAGTAACTTTCGCCCTGATTAAATTCAAAGATTCTTTGCTTCATAAACAAGAGCCACCAGCCATGGAAGAAAGGAAAAGTTATCATTTATTTTAGACAATAATACAAATAATCTCTATCACTAAATAAAAACCACCATCAATACTACGAATGTTAAAATACCAACCGTTTATCATTTTAATTAATTATTTATTTATTTTTATTCATTTTGAAGAAGGGAAGTTTCATTCAATCACATTTATATAGATATATAAATTTACACAAAATATGTATATGTAAAGAAACAAAATATAATTAGCTTTCCAACTAGCCGTTACGTTTGATCATTCTCCTATCCAAAAGTATATTATATAATTTTTTTTGTTCTGTCTCCAAAGTGTAATATGCTATAATACATTTTTAAACTTGTATGAAACCCTTGAAATACTAAAACTTGTGGAATTTTTTCTATGATTTGGCTGTTGATCCCAATTATTCTTCCCCCCTTGATCGCTAATCACGTGCTTTATTAAGTGTTTGTCGTTTTATTAAAAATTTTCGACAAGATCAACTAAATGATTATATGCTGTACATACAATGTCTGTGATCATTACTCCCTACTCTATCTTATTCGTAATAAATTAATAAAAGAAGAATATACTTGCGTGTTTTAATTGGTTTAAATAGAGAAAAATATACTATAACTTTTAAAAAATAATTATTTTCTAGAAAATTACTTAAGCAAACATTTCAGAAGATTTGAAAGTGTTGTGAAACTTCCTGACAGATGGGTAAAAGTCGGTAAAATATTTTGATTTTAAAATCAAAATAAATTTTGACATCGTTATTTTAATTTATGAGATGTAATTAAAATATTTTTTATTAATATCAATTATAGATTTACATTAAAATACGTGTTTGTTGAAAGTTTTAATATTCAAAATTATAACATTAAGAAAAAAAAACTAATTAAATATGTTTTCTATAAAACTAAATTCCTACATGTTTATTGTATCCGAAACCCATGCATGTAATGTTTTTGGGTTAGAAATACAACTTATACTCCACCTTACTAATAAATCTGTCTCATAAAAAAACACCATTAATTTCGTAAATAATTGTGGAAACACACACATGCTGGCTAGTGGCTACATATTCGAGGGTATATTTTGCTAAGTTGTTCTAACCCGAGGAATAACGTAAAAAAAAAAAAAAGACAAAAAAAAAAAAAAACCTAGAGTACTAGATAACTTGTCTTGAAAGCATACATTGGATATTTGTTATCCAAGCAAGAAATAAATAAGCACAAGATGAGTGCATGAATCACGCATATGTTTACTACACAAAACAAAAATCATATCCTGATAGTAATTAGTGGATAATTGTTCTTTAGTTACGTGCTTGTCGGCATATATTTATATAATTTTTTTCTTCAGATATATGGTTTAACAAATTTTAATTAATTTTTATGAGCTAAATTAAAATTTTAAGTTATCAAACCTTAGAGATCAATTTTTACAATTTCAAACATGGACGAATTGATATCAGGAAGCGTGGATGTAAATTGATGATATGGTTAGACTTTTCATCTTTCAGCTGCATGGTACAGATAAAAGCTTAAGACCTAAACAATTAACGCGATTCTCGTGATCTTTTTCATTGGGTATACAAAGCGTAATGCTAAATAATCTCTACAAGTTCAACAGAACATTGCTTGCAAAACGCTTGAATTTTGAAGCACCCACTTTCGATTGTAATTATATTATGGTTTAATCATTGGCTTCCTAAGATTAACTGAAAAAAAAAAAATACATGCACAGAAATCTTCAAGTGAGTGATAATAAATTAATAATTAAGCATGTATTTGAAAATGCGACGTGAGAAGGAGATGGAGGTGTAGACTGTTATTTAGGTATTCTAAAATGAAGAGGATCCTCAATTATGTGTGATTGGCACATGGAGTTTGGCATAATTGGTGGAGTTGAAATATGAACATCTCTACGTGGGAATTCAACATCTAGGCACCCAAACAATTCTCAATTATTAATCTATCTAATAATTTATTTATTTATTTTCTCACACGATCCGATCATGACCAATTTTTTTTCTCGTATAATTTTCTTATTTAGTTTCTTTTTCACTTGCATATATATATATATATATATATATATATATATATATCTCTTTTTAAGATTTTTCAAACTACCATAATTTGAAACTAATATACGAATACAAAAATATATTATTTCTACGGGAGATGACTATGAATTATCAACCAGTCTGGCATAAGGTAATATGCATATATATTATGGTGTATCTCTTCATATTATAATGCCAAATTAAATCTCAAACGATGACCAATGAAATTCAACGCTTATGTGAATGATAAAACGTAACTATCCTCATAAAATTTAAAATTATTGAGTTTTCACTCTACAAAATCCAATCTATTCAACAATTTCCCTTATTTATGACCGCCTCCAACCAAACCTAGGTTGTGATTTACGACTCGGTCGCGCCATGTTTACCTGTTTTTTTTTCAGTATTTTTTAATTTTTAAAATATGAATTAGTTTTTCAATTACATCAACAAAAACTGTAAGTTATTTCCTCCAAAAAAAAACGCAGTCCACTAAACAGCATACACTTTCTTGATAGTTTCTCAATACCCAAACTTTGAGTTTATGAGTTCTCCTTTATGCACTTCACGGTATCATGACGAACATAAAACATCATAAATAAACAAAATGGACTTTGCAATAATTATGATAAAGGTAGAACATTATTATAAAGTTTGGTTAATGAAGTTATTCTATTTTACGATATATAATTAGTTAGGACTTGGGAGTACTTAATAAATATTTTAATTTTGTGGACAAGTTGTATTACACATATATAAAATGCCTATCTGGTCTAACGAAAATATGCTCTTTATTTAATTTCTCAAATGTACATTGCATGCATCTATATATCCCTAATAATTTGACATCCTCTCTCATGAAATTAAATGTAGTCACTCATGACTATAGATCAAAGGATTATTTAGTGTTCATAAATGTAGTTAATAACCTTTTACCAGTATACCTAAACCTGAGAATTATGCAAAAATGTAGGTTAATGGAGTGGTCCTTCTCTGAAACCCAAACTCTTTCTTTGACTTTCTCTAATTTTATCCTGTAATAGATCTTATATATATAATAATAGTAAGGTCTCAGCGACACCCCTTACACGTCTCTGCCACTATCACATCCTTCCCTAACTTAATACCTCCACTCATACATTCTCACTATCGTATTTAATTATGGATCTAGATTAAGAACATTTTCCAAATCAAATATAATCATCAAATGCTTATTACAATCACAAATTCGATGAATTAAACATTTAGGCTTTAATATATTACACGTCATTGACTGCAATTAAGAATAAACGAAAGAAAGGCACTAACATGGTTCTTAATTAGAATATGCATGGTATAATAGTAACTACTCGCACATGGTGACATATGCTAAATTTTGAATTGTAAATCACTTAAAGTAACTTTATTTATTATTTAGCATTGTTAAGGTTCCAACATAAAACCAATTGGCAATACGTGGAGTAGCCTAATATGTATTTAAACCATACTAAATGACATGAGGTAGGTGATGTGGGACTTTCAACACGTCCCTCCAACGAAACCTGCCGGATCAGGCAGAAGGTACTTTTGACCCAACTAAAGGACAATTTTTTTGCCCATGACAATAACCAGAAAAATGTTATGTTTTGACTCTGATACTATTTTAAGGTTCCAACATAAAACCAATTGGCAATATGTGAAGTAGCCTAATATATATTTAAACCATACAAAATGACACGAGGTAAGTGACGTAGCACTTTCAACAAGTATAATTAATGTATAAAACAATATTATTTCATACAGACATCCCACATTCCTATAACTCTTTTTTTGCCATTATAATCAAAATATGGTAAAAAGTAATATATTGATCTAATCAACACTGCTTAATTATACAAGGATAAATTTTTAGATTTAATAAAATTATATTTGTTAAACTACTACTCGCAAGTGCAACTATAATAATTTCATAAACTTATCACAAGCATTAGAATATTTACATTAAAAAAATGTAAATGAATAAGAGAGTTGACAAATGAGGAATTATAAATGTGAAATAACATAGAGATATAACGGAGAGAGATAGAGAAAAGTATATTATATATACATTTGTGTTTAGTTTTATTAGATGAATATGCATTCTAACTTCCATTCCGTGCGTTTATACGTTTCATTTTGAAATACTTCCGTCCGTTTTTGTACAAAGCCGACACTCAATTATCAAGTACTATGCATTTGTTAATAAATTTTCCATGTGACCAAACAATGAAACATTTGTTAAAGACAAAACACTGAAACATTAGAAAATGATTCGTCGAGTAACTTCTGTTCCTGGTAATTATATACATATAATAGTTAATTAACGTAATTTTCACAAAGATAAATCTTGATGGATTTTACCTGCAAAAGCTGCATTGTGCAATTGATGAACGTGTTCACAATAATTAACACATGTATCATTGTAAAACATATTTATACTTTTATTCATTCTGAACAAAAACAATAGAAAAAAAAAAGGAAAAAAAAGGAAAGGAAAAGGATGAAAAAAGCATTTTGAATTTTCTCTCAGTCAAAGAGAGGCAACTGAGTAGCTGGGAGAAATGATAAGAGAAGATAATTATTTGGGAACCTTTTGCTTTATGATTGTGTAGAGTAGATGGAGGAGTAGATGGAGAAGAGGGTGATTTAATATTTAAATGAGTTGTTGGAAATTCAATTAAAAAAAAATATAGTTAGTTGGAATGAAGCCATATGGAGAAAAATAAGAAAAATAAATTAAGATATATGGAACTTGAAGAGTCACAAGGCCAGCTGGGGAAGCTTCATTTAAGCATTAAAATTAAGATGGACATATGAATTGGTCCCTCGTTGTATGATGCATTCCACTATTATAAATATGCATTTCGTGTAGCTTTCTTAGTCATCACTAAATCAGAAAGGATCATATCTGATCACAAACATTGGTTGGAGGGTACTCCTTCTACTCATGACCGCCGGTAGCTACGGCCCTAGTAAGGGTCGATTCAGGCCTCAAATAATGGCCATTGCATTGGCAATTGTTCTGATTTCCTTCAATGTGGCATCCGTGGCTGCTGATGCTTACACTTACTCTTCACCACCTCCACCACCGCCTTCTTACGAGTACAAGTCCCCTCCCCCTCCTTCTCCTTCACCACCACCACCATATGTCTACAGCTCTCCACCCCCTCCACCTCCCTATGAGGCCAAGGATCCACATTATCAATACAAGTCTCCTCCACCACCCTCTCCCTCACCTCCACCACCATATTACTACAAATCTCCTCCACCACCCTCTCCATCCCCCCCACCACCATATTACTACAAATCTCCTCCCCCACCTTCTCCTTCACCCCCACCTCCTTACTACTACAAATCTCCCCCTCCCCCAGATCCATCCCCTCCACCCCCATATTATTACAAGTCTCCTCCACCCCCCTCTCCCTCTCCTCCACCTCCATACTACTACAAGTCCCCACCACCACCCTCTCCCTCCCCTCCACCTCCTTACTACTACAAGTCCCCACCACCACCTTCACCACCACCACCTCCACCATACTACTACAAGTCTCCTCCTCCACCTGAAAAGTCACCACCTCATGATCCTTACTACTACAAGTCTCCACCACCACCCTCTCCATCACCTTCACCTCCTTACTACTATAAATCTCCCCCACCACCCTCTCCCTCACCTCCACCTCCTTACTACTATAAATCTCCCCCACCACCCTCTCCCTCACCTCCACTCCCTTACTACTACAAGTCCCCACCACCACCTTCACCATCACCACCCCCACCATACTACTACAAGTCCCCTCCCCCACCTGAAAAGTCGCCGCCTCATGATCCTTACTACTACAAGTCCCCACCGCCTCCTTCACCATCTCCTCCACCACCTTACTACTACAAATCTCCTCCTCCTCCGTCTCCTTCACCTCCTCCACCATACTATTACAAGTCTCCACCACCTCCTTCACCATACCCTCCACACGTGCCTTACTACTACAAATCTCCACCTCCTAAGCCCTACTACTACAGCTCTCCTCCTCCACCGGTCGCCTATCCTCCATACTCTCCATACCCTCACCCTCACCCTCACCCATATCACCACCCATTGATCGTTAAGGTTGTGGGTAGAGTCTATTGTTACAGATGTTATGACTGGCAATACCCCCAGAAGTCGCACAACAAGAAACACCTCGAAGGTACAAACATTACTTTTATATTTTATTATTATTTCATTCTCATTCTTGGACAATAACAATATCATTATTTCCGCTCAAACGTGTCACTTTTTGCTAATATTTTAACTGCATTTTGTTTTCTTAAATAATTTATTTGGGGATGTGACCTCTTTACGTGCCTTTCAATTTTCTTTTCTTGGTCAAGCTCAATTTTCCATTTCTATAACTATATTTATAACAATATCATTTTTCTCCAAAACTCACTTATTTTTTATGCTCACAAAACAGTTCCTTCCTTAATTTTTTTTTAAATGCTACGTACCTAGTGTTCTATGAGAAATTCACGCATATTCTAAACCTTAGGTGCCACCGTCGAGGTTACATGTGAAGTTGGAAGCAAGACCATAACCGCTTACGGTAAAACTAAGAGCAATGGAAAATACAGCATCACCGTTGAAGGATTTGACTATGTTAAATATGGAGACACAGTCTGCAAGGCCAAACTCCATGCTCCTCCCAAGGGCTCACGTTGCAACGTACCCACGAAGCTGAACGAGGGAACCAAATTGAAGTTGAAGTCTAAGGATAAGTATGAAGTTGTTTTGAAGGCTAAGCCATTTGCATATGCTCCTGAAAAGCCATACGATTGTGAAGAGCACAAACATTCACACACTCCTTATCACAAACCATATTACTACAACTCACCCCCACCACCTTCACCCTCACCACACCCATACCCTCCTTATTACTATAAGTCACCACCTCCACCATCACCAACATACTACTACAAGAGCCCCCCTCCACCATCACCATCTCCTCCTCCTCCCTATTACTATAAATCTCCTCCACCACCATCACCATCTCCACCTCCACCCTATTACTATAAATCTCCACCTCCTCCACCCAAGGATCCATACTATCCTCCTTACTATTACAAGAGCCCCCCTCCTCCTTCCCCATCCCCTCCTCCACCTTACTATTATAACTCTCCACCTCCACCATCTCCATCACCACCACCTCCCTACTACTACAAGTCACCTCCTCCACCATCCCCATCACCACCACCTCCCTACTACTACAAGTCACCTCCTCCACCATCCCCATCACCACCACCACCATACTACTACAAATCACCTCCTCCACCAGATCCATCACCACCACCTCCCTACTACTACAAGTCACCTCCTCCACCATCCCCATCACCACCACCTCCTTACTACTACAAGTCTCCCCCTCCACCATCTCCATCACCACCACCTCCTTACTACTACAAATCTCCTCCACCACCATCTCCATCACCGCCACCACCCTACTATTACAAATCCCCTCCACCACCAGATCCATCACCACCACCTCCCTACTACTACAAATCACCTCCTCCACCATCCCCCTCACCGCCACCTCCATACTACTACAAGTCACCTCCACCACCATCCCCATCACCACCACCTCCCTATTACTACAAGTCACCTACTCCACCATCTCCATCACCACCACCTCCCTACTATTACAAATCACCTCCACCACCGGATCCATCACCGCCACCTCCTTACTATTACCAGTCACCACCACCACCATCTCCATCACCACCACCACCACCACCCTATTACTACAAGTCACCTCCACCTCCATCACCTTCTCCACCCCCTCCTTATTACTACAAGAGTCCTCCTCCACCATCTCCCGATCCTCATCCCTACTACTACAAATCTCCTCCACCACCATCTCCGTCTCCCCCACCTCCTTATTTCTACGTGAGTCCCCCACCACCAACAAAGTCTCCACCACCACCAGCTTACATCTATGCTTCCCCTCCACCACCCATCTACAAGTAAGCTCCGAATTAATCAGAAACAACGACAAGTCATGTAAGTTACTAATCTTAATATAGATAAGTATCTCTTTCATGTACATATATGGATCTTGAAAATATTAAAAACTTTTATGTTTATTTTCAGGTTCTAGTATTCATTGTGGAATAAAGTCAAGTTCCATTTGGAGCAGAGTTAAGCATCTAATTTGTTGTACAAGTTCTTTGAATAAGAGTCTGAATGTATCGTCTCTAAGCTACAATCTTCTCGATTCGGACGAGGTTGCTTCTATTTATTTGGTGGCCATCTTGCACGTCTTGTTCTTACTAAGTTCAAGAGAGCAACAAATGAAAACGAGGAACCAAGATTTAAATGTTGTTGATGCCAATGCAGGCCACTCTTAGAGATCTCTTTCATTTGTTTCTTTGTAGATTATTATATGGTTGATGATATCGTGTAATGATTGCATTCAAATTATTGTGAAATTCTTTTAATTATATCTTCTTCCGTCGTTTGCAATAAAATTGTCAAATATTTGGTAATGAGCAATCACTAATTACTTCCACAATTTAAACAGTATATCTAACCTACAGAGCCCGTGACTTACAATCAACGTCAGTAAACAAGACAATTGGACTGTGATCAGATTTAGGAGCCATCACTTTCTTCAATTCACCAGTATTGGGAAACATATTCAACCACTTGTAAGTAACGCTTATCATAAAAAACTTATTCATACCAGAATATCAACATATTTTTTTCTTTCTAAGTAGCAGATTTATATCTTCTAAATCATTTTTGGTTGTTAATTTCTAAAAAAAAACATGTAATAACACAATGCATCCCTTATATAATCAAGAGAAAAGATTTTTTCACAACCCATTTTTATAAACATCCATTGACAACTTTAAAGTATTATTTATTTTATTGATGGAGAGATGGAAGTAAAATAGATAAATAATAATATAATAATATAAAAATCTAAAAATGAATTATTAAATGAATATTTTTGTTTTTTTATGGTGTCAAAATATCAATACTGTATTTTTTTTGCAATTATTTATATTTTATTAGAGGAAAAGATTATTCTCCATTTTTCTCTAATTTTTTGCTTGTTCTTCTAATTTCTTTGACGTAGTACGTGAATAATGATTCTTAATATAGGACATAAATTGTTATATATATATATATATATATATATATATATATATATATATATATATATATATATATATATATATAAAGTAAACTTTAAGTAGTTATGGACCTTATGACTAAATTTCTTCCCATTCTAGTAGTTTGAGCAAAACACGAAATTTGTGAAAGGAATTACTGGATTAATTATACAAAAATAATTTGATGACAAAAATTTGGGAATTTTTTTTATCGACAATAAAGAATAAAGTTAATAGAAGTACACAGGGTATGTCAACCCATATACATAAAAAAAAAAACAAAATAAAGAAAAACAAAATAACATGTTGGATTCCAGCTTTATTTAGCTCATAAAAGTCTATGAATACAATTTCAATAACCTCAGCATTACAAAAATATGACTAACTTCTGCTATGGTCCTATCATTAACAAAGATTCTATCAATATTAATAGATGAGCCTAATAACCCTCGAATACTCCCGCCTTCCGTCTCTTTATAAGGATTCTTGTCATTGTATTAGAATTTCATGTTTTAACCTGTTAAAACATATATCAGCTATCACATATTAAAGAGAAGATATAGAGTAATTAGTTTCATGCACCTTATCGGTTCATAGAACCAATCGGAATTTGGTATACTCGCTCCATTCCAGTCTCTAACACACCAAACTATGAATTTTGCGCTTGCTTTACTGATTCCTACTTCTGTATTGAATTTCTCATTTTTAAAAATGCACCTATTCCTTTGAGACCAGATCTCGTATACCACTACTACCCATAGTCTTTTCCACAACATATTTCCCTTCACTCCCAGCCTCCTAATACGAAGCTTTCTAGGTTTGTTTTCGCCTCCCAATGACACACATGACTAATTCCCACCCATCTAAAATACTTGTCCCAAATCTCACTGGTCACTTTGCATTTGAAAAAGAGATGATCAGATGTTTCGTCCTTGCTTCCACATAAAGCATATTTTGGGTCACATATAGCAACCCCTCTCCTAACTAGATTCACCTTAGTAGAAATCCTATCTTGAAGAATTCTCCACCCTATAACCATGACCTTTGGGATCCCCTTAATTTTCCAGTACCATTTGAAGATCGCTTCATTCTTCTCGCAAGTTATATTGGATAGAATCTCATACGCTTCTTTTACAGTAAATCCTTTATTATTATTCTGGCCCCACAGTCACGTATCTTCTATATCCTTATTAAGTGTTATAACCTGGATCTTACTTAGCATTTCCTCCTTCATTTCCTTCTCCCATTCAAACCGTTGTCTTCTCCAATTAACTCTTCATTCCCGTTTATTTTTAATCTACTCACCCTGTTCTGATATCACTCATTCTTTGTTCACTCCTATTTGTTTCAACCGTGGGAACAAACTACCTAAACTTTGACCCAAACATCGTCCCAAAACCTAATTTTCATTTTTAATCTACTCACCCTGTTCTGATATCACTCCTTCTTTGTTCACTCCTATTTGTTTCAACCGTGGGAACAAACTACCTAAACTTTGACCTAAACATCGTCCCAAAACCTAATTTTCTCCCTGTTTCCTAACTTCAATTTTACATATTTATCTAATCAAGCTCTACCAGCGTTATCTTTACGTATTCTTTTTATATCTAGCCACCATCACAATCAGTCGCTAATTTAATGCAAAAATAACGACCAAAATTTGAAACTAGTACCTTAGAGTTGAAGGTTGATACTCCAACCACTAAGCTACTAGGATTTTTCAATAATTAATAACTTACAATAATTTATATTTATATATAAATAAATGTATATCTATACAAATATATAAATATAAAATCTATAAATACAAATATATTTATATATATTTATATATTTTTACACATTTTTATATATTTATATATTTAAAATTTAATTTTTAAGATGGAAAAAAAATTCTTGATAGCTTGAAATAGAGATGAAAGAAAAGAAAAAGACAATAACCCTAATATTTTAATAAAGAATTTATAATATAAATATTAAAATATTAAAGATAATATTATATTTTTCCAAAAATAATAAATTTTTTTAATTCATTATTTATAACTTTAATTAATTAAAAAATATTACTATTATTCATTCATCATTTAAGAAAAAAATTTAAAATATAAATATTAAATATTAAAAAAATATTATATTTTTAAAAACAAATTAAAAAAAAAAGATTTAAAAACATATATAAATTATATTTACATGTACAAAATATTAAAGATATCCACATTTAAAAAAAAAACTAAAAAATACCAAAAAATTATACTTTAAATTGATGAGATATCTAAAAAAAAGTTATATTTATTAAAGTATTAAAAATATTTTGTAATATATAAGTTAAAAAAATTATCATTAAAATTTTTAAAAATTATTAGTTTTGTAATTTATACCCAATGAAAATAAATTACAAATATTATAATATATTGGTATATTATTATAATATAGTATATTTGTATTCTAATTTTTAATTAAACTAAAATTACGCTAATAATGTATAATAATATATGAGGGAATAACAAATTTAATCCAATTACTTATGAATATATCCTTTTTTAACTTTTTTTTCTTTTTAAACTTCTCACATTCTATATTTTTTTTCAAAAACTCTATCATTTCTACTACATTATCATCCTCATCTTCTCCCATATTCTATTTTATCTTTACAATAATTAGTCCTATTTTATAGGATACTTTATTTTCTATTTTTATTATTTATTTTCTTATAATTTAAAATAATTAATATTATTTTAACATTTGTTTTTATGATTTTTACTATAATAAATCAAATAAAATGGTTCGATAATATCAATTAATTAAAATCATCACATCAAAAGCTTAGATAACTACATTAAAATTATTAATTTTAAAAATATAAAATATATTTGAAAAAATACTAAAGTTATAGATAGGAAATAAAATAGAATAAACAAATATTCTTTACTTTATATTATATTTAAGTCTCATGCATAAATGTTGACTTTCTTAACTATAAAGAAATAGTAGAAAAATATAAAGATAGAATTTGAAGAAGTGAATTTTGAAGATAAAGACTATTTTTATATAAATTTATTATAGTATATCAATTAACAATACTAATACATAAAATTTAAAACTAAACTAAATAAAATTAAGTTTAAATTTATAAAAAATTAAATTACTAAAAGTATCATATTATATTAAGATTTTCATTATTTTCGTTAATTATAAATTTAAATGTGTTTCATAAATAAAATTATAAATTTAAATGTATTTTCACTTTTGATCCATCATAAATAAAAATAAATAGTCTCTTATAAATGTTGTTCTATTTTAATCCATCGTTAAATTTGTTTTATATTATTTGAGACAAGTTTTTTTTTTATATTTTATTTTTACGTATTTTTAACTTCAAATTTATTTTTTATTTTTATTATTTATTTTCTTATAATTTAAAGTAATTAATATTATTTTAACATTTACTTAGATGATTTTTATTATAACAAATCAAATAAAATCATTTGATAATATCAATTAATTAGAATCATCACGTCAAAGATTTAGATGACTAGATTAAAATTATTAATTTTAAAAAATATAAAATATATTTTAAAATAAAAATAATAAAATTATAGGTTGAGAAAAAAAACTAGAATGAACAAATATTCTTTATTTATAATATATTTAAGTGCGTGTACCAATCTTGACCTTCATAACTATAAAAAAATAGTTAAGAAATGTGAACATAGAAATTAGAGAAGTGAATTTTGTAAATAACTTTTTTATAAATTCAAGCACTCATATCGAAAAGAAAAGACATGAAAAAGAAAAAACGAATTTGATGACTTATCATATTATTAAAAATTTGGATGAAATAATTATGTATAATACTTTTTTCGTATATTATATTTTTAAATTTGCTAATAGAGAAAAAGTTTCAAAATTCAAAATGTTAAATATTTTTAAATATTAGAATTGACTTTATAAAAAATTAGGGAAAAAATAATTAATCCAAAAATATAATAATTATAAAAATATTATAAAAAAGAGTTCAAAAATGTGTTATAATATTTTTAGTTTTAGTTTAATTATATTTTTAATTCTCAAAGTTGTAATTATTTTAATTTAATAAAATATAATTTAAATTTTTAATACTAAAATTAAGAGATTAAATAATAATAAATTTAATTCTTTAAATTTAGTATTTAGAAACTAAAATTATAGTTTCTCTGTTTTAAAAAATTAAAATAAATATTTAAAAATAGAAAAAAACTAGTATTATCTTAAATTTATTAAAAGTATAATTAAATCTCCATTTTCTTATCCAATTTTAGAAATTTTTTAATAAAAATCCGATATATAAAAAAGTTAAAATTTTAAAAAGGCACAACCTTAACTTACATTAACAATTTTTTTTTAATGACAAAAAAACTGGGCTTTGAAAAAAAGTTAATAATTTTGTTTATTTCAGTAATGAAGTTTTCAAATGTGATCTATGCATTTATTGAACAAAATTGGAGGTGTGTTGAATATAGATTTAAATATATTTTTAA